AGCCAGTGATACTTACTCCTTCAAATTCATGTCCTACGCAAGCTGTCATGAAATCTACGTGTCTACTATACAATTCTCTATTCATTCTCATTTCTCTATTTTGTTCTTCTCGTGACATTTGTTTGGAGACGTGTTGTAAGGTATATTCGTACGCATCTCGTTTTGCCGTGGATGTTACTGTGATATACGCAGGTCTATGTCGATTGAAATCAGGTTTTACACTTATCACGCCATTCACATCAACCTTATTAAAAATACACAACATAAACTATTTTAAGAAGGTGGATTGAAGAGAGTATATGTCATCTTCTTTGATCTCTTATTATCATGTATTCATGCCAAGAAATTCTGGTACTTGAAACAATTGATCAAAAAACAAGGGCCTAATATGTCATAAAAAATGGTCTAAATCAACATATTTCCACTAGTTTCTATGGCGACAACATTTTTTTTTCATATCTGTAAATATTGCTGAGTTACAAGGAATGAAATCCTAATATTGCTTAAGTTAAACATTGAAAAAAAATTGGCGTTTTGTGATCAAGTTTACAATGGGAGGTACTTTCCCATAATGCATTGTATACATGTGCAGGAATACGCTCAGTTATGAAAAATTTGAATTACTATCCCAGAATGCACTGTATAAAAGTGCAGTGACATGCTCAGTAAAATGATTCAAGCAGGCCAACTTACTTTAATAGTACAGAGTAAGTATTCTTCCCCAATCTCTGGCTGCCTGCAACAAAAAACACTTTAAATTTGCTATTCTGAATCATCAAACATTTTTTGAGCAATGCTTCTTGCGTAACAGATCAGCCTACAAGGTAAATGTAGGAATGTTTGCGTTTGTTCATATAAATAAAAATATGAAACGGATGCAACTTACGTTCCTTTGGCACTGAGATCTGCCATGATACGCATTGCTTGGAACGGAGTGTTAATAAAATGTGTACGTAATTTGAACTCTTCACTAGGCTCATTGATGATAGGACTCAACTTTGCTAACATGGCATTTTCCCTGTGAAAATAATCATGAATTAATTGCGATAACAATAATGTTTGTCATAATTATAAAAGGCTAAATTGCAAATAGAACTGAAACCATACAGCATTCTTCAGTATGTGGAATAGCTCAAATGAGCAGATGATAAAGACATTTTCAACCTTAACTGTGGCTTTTCAGGATTTGCTGTGAATTTTAAGATAGTTTACTGTCTCAACGAAACCCTTTAATAATTATTTTATAATTCCTTCTGTCATTCTTCTAGGTTTTGTTCAATGTTTTTGTGTAATCTTTTGAAAAGTGTCATTTTTTCCCTGGCAAAATTTGTATGCAACATTTTTATGTATTTATCAATAATTTATTTTTTATTTTTTAGGGAATGAACATAATTTTCTAATAGCTACAGGTCTGGATTAGAAGTTTGGGGAAAAATTACACAGGTTTATTTTGTGAAAAGAGACAAAAGTTGAATAACGTAATTTGTGAACTACAATATTAGAAATCCTAAAATACTCAAACACAGGTCTTCAATAAGGATTTTACAACAAATTAATTACAAAAATAATCATTAAAACTTCAAGATGTTCCTTTAAAACCTACTAAATCTGGTTTATTCCACCAAGGTACCTGCATTACATTTGTCAAAGCAATCTCTTTAAGAAGGGTAAAATAACATTTTCAATCAAAGGAACTACTGTAGAATACTTTATTTTCGCTTGGAATTTATTTTTGCTATTTTCGCTGAAGGGATGATTCCGTGAAAATAAAATCTAGCGAATGTACTTTTTTTTCTATATTTCCCATTAAACTCATCAAAAATCAGTGAAAATATACTCCATACAAAATGCCCAAAAAACCTTTTCAGCGAAAATTAATTCCAGCGAAAATAAAGTATTCCACAGTATCACAAAATAAACTGATGTGATAGCACAAAGAACCCAGCTATCTAGTAGAACAGAATGTAGATGTATTGACATATCTACAAATTTGATGGAGACTGTATCAAAGTAATTTGGTTTATGGTTTTCAACTACAAGGAGGTGTATTTATAAATGTGGCATGCAATGGACAATCACAATGACCATCTTCACTTAGTAATCTTTGACAGTGGAGCTAAACAAAACAATAAATCTAAACATCTAAAATGTAATGTTAGACAAACAAAACTCAAATTTATGATTCCATTTCCAAATTACATCTGATCAGGTATTGAAAAACAGTAGCTTTTGCCAGATACACACAAACGTTATTATTCTCTTACTATACTAGACAATGACAAAGCAGAGTTTTTCAAACTATTGGGTTATACACAAATAGGTTATTTTGATGTGTTTTAATATTTCTTGAATAACACACAATATTGATACCCTGGATATGAAGAATAGTTATTGAACAGGGACACAAATTTACAACTTTACAAATTTAGGTTGACAAATTACATGATGACCATCCCTATCCCACATAGCATGCTATCAGTCAAACGCTGCTGCAAAGCCATATTTCTGTAATAGACCATTCTCCATTTATTGTAACAGACCTTTTCTCCATGTGTGAAATTAAACATAGAAACAGGACAAACAAAGGTGGGATTTGATAGACACAAATATACTTTTTGTTCTATACGCATTTAATGATGATCAATTTTGATTAAGTAAGGGTATCTCAATTGCTATGTTCACACGGCAGCATTCTATCGGAGCCGAACTACTACTCCTCCCATTGATTAACAGGAGATTATCTCCAATGCGTTCATACGGTCAGGAGCTGAACGAGAGCCGAGATCTACCAGAGTTTGATTCAGTTCGATCAGAGCCGAACAGAACAGTGCCCTTGAATAATTAGTGCCTGAAAACGATTTGAGTGTCGTGCTTGTGTTTTTTCTTTACATGGCACGATGCTGTTGAGCTAGGAGAAAAAAAAAACAGTCGCGAGCCTGAGCATGGAGGTAGAAAAGACAATAACTGGTATTGTGATTTAGGTACTAGTATCTCAAATAAACAGGAAACACGGCAGCTAAAATGCGTTTAATACAGCCTATTCGCTCAAGTTATTGTCATGCAAAATTACCATTTTGTAACTATTCAATTGTAGTGATATCTAAACTACTAGGAAGAATCACAGATTCTCTTTATCTACCATAGAGGGACTATGGAAGAATCTAAACCTACCAGGAACATGTCATCGTACCGCGATCGCTTCTACGATTTGTATCTTTAGTGTCTTTAAAAAAGTTTCCGTTCAGTCGTTCTTTCAAGTTTTTGTCGCATAATTTAGTACGTCATTTTTTGTTTCCCGTTGAGCTATCAATTGCAATAATTCGCATACCTCTTCGTCAAGCCGGAAATTGCGTGAAATTACGAAAGATGTTGTCTCCGCCATAATTGAAATGAGAGGTTAGTCGAAGAAAATGATTGAGGGCGTGATTTCGGCTCCGATAGTTGGGCCCAATGCGTTTACACGATCGGAGCCATGTCGGACTCAAACGTATCGGAGTTCAACCTTGAGGGTTTAGTGGAGCCGAACTTGGCTCAGCCGAACGCGTTTACACGGCCATTTTTGCTGGCTCGAGCCGTTGGGCTTCGATAAAATGCTGTCGTGTGAACGTAGCAAACATTTTATTCCTCTCAGCAAAGTAGACATTGAACAAGTCATTTGTCATTAGGTCCATTGATGTGGTCCATGTACTCACCCTTCTCGTCCTCCTCTATCTTTAACTCTTCGTTGTCTAACATTTCTGACTCTTTCAGCCAACCATGTGGGTTTCTCATTTGGTGAAGTTGTCATCATAGTGGTTCTCTGTGAAAACATTCAAACATAACAGTTGTATTATAGTATTAAAATCCGTAAAACAAGTGACTGAAGACCTCTCAGCTACAAAACCATGCAAAGTGGGAGATATAAGATTATATTACAGTTGTAACAACAATTATCGTATTTGATTAACACATGCACTTACAAGTGTCTATAGCCAAACTAAGAATTATTTTATATACCAGTACCGGTAAATTTGTACAATAAAAATAGTCTGGATTGTGTGACATTTTGATTGAACACTAATACCGATCCACCACCCACAGCCTCATATTGGATTAATAGATTATGCATAAGGTGAACACACTATCAAGTGTAGAAACAACTTCAAATCCAATATTATGATATAACTTTAGCATGTGTTAGGCAATTAATCCATGGTCGCCTATTTTGTTTTATGCCCATAACCTGACTGGTATATTGGTTTGTATGATTATACTTTTATTTTTACATAGCAAACCCAGCCGGCAACACAGCAAAAATTACAGTATTATGGCTGTCTCTCACACCAACTGTTCAGGGCCAATAAAATGCAAATATTATACTCTATGCTAATGTACAGCAATGTCACAAAGTCCAAATATGGGCAATGGTATGTTACAATACCATGTTATGTATACATGTATGAGTACATACTTACATCATCAATATCAGTAAATCTATCATGGTCAACATATGTAAACAATCTATTTGTAGGTCTTCCACCTTTTTCTTCTAATTTGATAACTTCCTCATGATATTTATAATCTAAAGCAGAAAAGCAATTCTGCTCATCTCTATACAACTCCACTTCTCTCTTAGAGAACAATTTTTCTTGCCATCGTATCGTGTATGTTTCACATTCTTGAGGTTGCTGATGGTCTAGAATAGATGAAAGAAACAGTTATTCGTTTTAAGTGGAAATATAAAAAAAATGGTCATATAAAAAACTGATAGAGGGTCAGAGAAGTTACCACTGCGGTAGCTACCAATATGATGGGCTGTATTTTCTGGTACCAGTAAATTTTTAATCCAAGTAATAAAGCCAAGTGGTGGAACTAATGAATACACACAAAATTAAAATTGTTAGGATGTTTAAGCATTGATATTAATTCCATTTCCACGCAGTTCAATACATGTCATTCAAACAATTGGCAGCAGTTAATTTTAAAACAAGGATGTAAATATTCAGTGAAAAAATGTATTTTTCATATATAATACCTATATAATTTTGACTATTAAAACATACTGCAATAAAGAGAAATTTAAAATAGCATGCAAGAACCTGGAAATAGAAACTGCCAGGTGCCATTTTGACAACTCAAAAACAAATTTATGAAATGCATATATCCTGTACTTCCCCGATCATAAGCCCAGGGGCCTGAACATGTAAAATTGGGAAAATTAGAGAGTGGGCTTATACTCAAGGACCACCTCAGAAAAGATAATATTTTGGGAGGTTTAAAATTGTAACCATCTTCCCACTCATGAAAGATTATCCAACTTTCATTCACAGCGTCAGTCTCGGAGAAATTTTATGTCTTTTTGAGGAAGTACAGTATATAGAACAAAAAATACCACACATTGCCTGAAAAACAATGGTATTCAAAAGTTTGATTATGAAAAGGTGTACTATATGATAGTGTCACTTACTTGGCGGATTCAGATCTTGAATTCGACCACCATCAGTACTAGGTAGGCTAGCAGTTGGAACCAAACTAGACGACGTTACAGGCTTAAATGTTACTCTGAAAGGAAATAAAATTAACTTAAAGCGCGGTGGTCGTCGCGCAGCGCGTGTTCGAATTTCATGTAAATAAACAATGTATTTTACACACATTGTATACATTGCTATGAGATTTGTCTACATACAATTGCATAAATGATATAATGCCAAACATGGATTCCTAAAACTGGATTGGGCTCATTCATCTGTACTATGTGATATTATGGATATAATAGAGGAGGATAACCCTGTATCATGTTCAGTTTAATCACAAACCATCATCACCAGTTTAAATAATATTGTGACCCAACCTCCACATTCCCAGAAAAAAAACTTTCAAATTACACTGGTATATTTGATCCATTCTAAACCCACAGCAATGTGAGAGTAGGGAATAATACAGTTGTGATAATATGAGGACACCGCAAAATATGCACAAAGACAGTACAGCAGGACAATCGACCGACGCAGCAGAGGTTGATGCGACAGCGTACTGTCTGAGTGCATACTTTGAGTACCCTTAGAATAACCTTATTATTATACATCTTTTCCTTCCAAGGATATATCATAGAAAAGCCAAAAAGTTTAAAACAGATTTAGAAAACGTTTTTGTGTGGGGTCCATACAAACCTTGGGGGATGCGTGTTTGTTTTTAATATTAGAGAACGATTATGTGTGTAATCTTTCTATATTTGGAATTTAATCTTTCTATATTTGGAATTCGCATTTCCTAATGTACCCAGTGCAATACAGCAAAGTTAAAGCATGATATAACTTATGGCATTACGGTGACATATGTGGTCCCTTAACATGATTTGGTATATTAATAAGTCCCCCCCCCCCCAAAAAAAAAATGGGGGAGGGGTGACTTTACCAAAGAAAATGACACTTGCCTTTACTGGCCATACCTCATGGAACTGACAAACTATAGCTAGCAAGAGCTAGGGTAAACAATCTAAGATATACCGTAATCTGTAATAATATAGTTACTTCAATTTACAAATAGTACGGAAAGCACTATTCCCAAACATTTTGTGTGACGGATGTACACAACAACAGACGACAAAACACAAACATTGCTGCAAATCAGTACAGTGTATGTGTACAACCTTTGTTTTGTTTGTGAAGTTGGTGGTGACTTTATAAACACAATATATTTGCCTCACATTATTATACTGTTTCAAACTTACTTAATTCTGAGATTCTTTATAGGATCTCTGCTACGATAATGTGCCACTCCAGTATCTGCTTGGACGTCCGCCATTTTGCACAACACAAACTATTTTGGACGAATCCAATGTAGTGAATAGGGGAGTCCGAATTAAATTCGAGGGGCGACATACTGTATGAATACTAATGTGAGTCGTCATACTGTATGAATACTAATGTGAGTCGTAATTCCCATGCCGACGACCTTTACAATAATCAGCTAATATTTTAGTATCATTAATCCGCAATTCGACCCGCTTTTTTTTCTAGCTCTCTTTTTCTCGTAGTATAAGAATCAGTTTAGCCATTTTTGACTTGGACTTTCCCCTCAAATTATATATGAAACAGCATTCATAAAATATTCGGATCTTTGGGAAAAGTTTAAACT